TAATTTAAAGCAAATTAGGAAAATTGCTAAGAATTTACTACTTCACTAAAGGCATTAAGAAATAAATACGAATAAATAACTCGTTTTTTATCTCTAATAACTATGATAATAAACTTTCAATATCCACAAAATCTTTCAAAATTCACCTTTACTTTGGTTTAAAGCAATTTAAAACACCATATTACTTGATTATGAATTTTTTAAATATACATTTTTCAATGAATTATAATATACTCATTTATAAACTTTTGAAAAATTTGAGTTATAATTTTAAAGAAAGCACATTAATTTCAAACCATTTCGTCGGAATTTATAGAAAGGGTCATTCTGAAAGCCTCGTATCCTTTCATAATTTATGCAAAAGATCGCACAGAGGTTGAGGTCAAATTTTTAATCAAAAGCAAGAATTATAAATCTTTGTAGTCAACATGGTAAAAATTATTGCCTTATCTTAAAATAAGGCTACAAGAGAAATCGCCCTCTAAAAAGCTATTCACAACGACTTCAGATCCTCCAATGGAATGCTGGAGGAATGTCACAGGACAAAAAGATCCAAGTACGGAAAATCCTACAAACCTATGATGCAGACATTTTCACAATTATGGAAGCTAACAATTCGGATGACAAACGAAAATACTATCAATTCCCAGGTTACACCTTTAACCTTCTACCTAAATACCGGCAAGTTGCAAGTGGAATTCTAACGGGAGTAAAAGAAGGCCTCAACTCGCTTGACTCAAGACATATGTGAAATAATCAGATTAAATATTTAAAAAGGTCATAACCACTTCAATTTTTATGCAGTCTATAAACCACCCCAGAATTGTCCCAACTTTGACATTCTGAACATCTCACACAAAACTATAGTATTAGGAGACTTCACCGCCCACTCACACAAAAGTAGTATTAGGAGACTTCAACGCCCACTCCACAAGATGGGGCTACAAGATACAAACATAGCTGGAATCACACAAAACTATAGTATTAGGAGACTTCAACGCCCACTCAGGAAAATCATGCTAAACAGCAACCCTCTGGAACTTATTTACAGCAATGCTAAACAGTAACCCTCTGGAACTTATTTAAAGCCATGAGGATCCGGCTACATATTTGCACTACAATGGAACCAGAACAACTCCTGACTTACTCCAGGCTTCAAGCGACATCAGTGAGCTTACACACCGCAAAATAATTGGCGATCCTGGTTCTGGTCACAAATCAGTCATTGCTAGTATTACCATCGGCAGCAAAAGCATGACAAGGAAATTGACAACTAAGCTATCATGGAACTTCAAGAAATCTGACTGGCCTAGATTCCCAAACCTTTTAGAGAATGAACTTCACATAAGTCCTCTCAACTACAACCAAAATCCTGGCAAACTATGCAATAATATCACGAATATTATGATCAGATGTGCAAAGAGAACTATTTCCCGAGGCAAAACTAAACACTATCGCGTGTTTTGGTCTAAACACCTTGAGGATAAACACTATCGAGTGTTTTGGTCCAAACACCTTGAGGAAGCTAAAAGAAAGCGGGACGCCCTTCGCAACACTGCTGATCAGAGACGCCCTTCGCAAAACTGCTGATCAGACTGGAAGAACCATAGACGACAATCAGCTGTCCTAAGGCAAGCCATCTTAGAAGCAAAACGGACGTCCTTCGACAAGTTCATCTCAAATATCAACTAAACCGGACTTCCTTCAACAAGTTCATTTCAAATATCAGCTATTACGGACTTCCTTCGACAACTTCATCTCAAATATCAACTATGAAACTTACTTCGACAAGTTCATCTCGAATATCAACTATCAAAGCCTTCGACAAGTTCATCTCATATATCAACTGTGAAAGTGATAGCCAACGTACTTTCAAATTCCTTGGTAACCTTCAAAACAATAGGGAAAGGCCCAAGAAGAAACTAATACTTTTTAAAAACAAACTGCTTACCACCGTCTCCGAAATAGGTTACTGCTTCGGGAGGTTAAATTCCCACAAGCGAAAGAAAAAACCTTCTGTCAGAAAATCTTCAAAAGATTTAAAAAAGCAAGACAATTTGGAGCAATTAATGAAGACGCAACACCAAATAATGTACTTACTCAAACATTCAGACCTTGCAAACTTAATGCTGAGATAAACAGCTCAAGTGCACAAATTCTCATGGCGAAGACGGTATTCATCCGGGATTTCTAAGAAGAATGGGACCAAAACCCAAGGAAACCATGCTGACGCTTTCAATAAAATCTGGAAGACTAATTTCGCACCTAACCAACGGAAAGTTGCCATAGAAATATCAGAACTAAATAAGGCCGAAGATATTAGCAACTCTGACTACTATAAGCCTATGTCCCTCACACGCGTGCTGGCTAAACTTATGGAAAGAATGGTCCTCACAAGTGTGCTGGCTAAACTTATGGAAAGAATGGTTTACAGGAGGCACACCTGGTTCCTTGAGACTAACAATATTCTTAGGTGTGAACAGCCTGGCTAAACTTATGGAAAGAATGGTTAACAGGAGGCTGACATGGTTCCTTGAAACCAACAATTTTCTTAGAAGTGAACAATCAGGTTTTAGACTATAAAGATTAACAAACCAACAAGTAGCCACTTTATCCCAACTCATCAAAGTTGCTCTTGATGCATGAAATACCCTTATGGCTGTTTTCGTCGATTTCAAATCAGTATATGACTTAGTAAGAAAAGAGAAGCTATTTCTAAAATTGGCAAAGATTTGTATTAAGCCTAACATGCTCAACTGGTTAAACGCATTCATTGGACAAGGATCCTGTAAAGTCAGATATGGAAGTGCTCTATCAAAATGCAAACTTTAACAAACAGGTCTTTTACAGAGAGCTGTCACAAGCTGCACTATTTTCAATGTCTTCACCAACGACATAGCCGAATTGGTACAGACTATCACGGGCATCAAGTACTTACTCTATGCAGATGATCTTGTTTGATAGCATTCTGCCCCTAAGAAAAACGCTCATAAGAGGACAGAAAGTGCCCTAAATTGTTCACTAAAACTACTAGCAAACTGGTGCGGCAACAATAAAATGGTAATCAACACTGCGAAAACTGCATTACAAGCATCCTCTTTATCCTGTCAGAGCATAAACCCGCTTCTAAGGTACATGGATACTACCATAGAAAAAACCAACACCAAGTCCAAGATGTTTATTCAGCCAATAATGTTGTAATGCTAAGAGTTACTTATTACAGCCAGAGAGATGACTCTCACACCACTGGAGAAGGCATACAACCAAACATTAAGACTAATTACTGAAAGGATAAAATTAACAACCACTGATGCAATGCTCCTAATTACAGGAAGCACCACAATAGGTTCTCTTATCAAAGAAAAGGCCTTTATCCTGTATGAGAAGCTACTGCGCATTCCCATGGACAAGTTCTTCAGCACCTATGAGAATAGACCAAGTCATCTGAAAACGCAATCTGGTCTAATACAGAAAGCCATAGAACTGAAGAAAGAATTAAAAATTGATGACAAACCAAAAAGCCTTTCTCTCTCACCATGAACCCATTAGCAGACATTGATGTAGTGTGTTGCACCCAACTGCTACACTTCTTCAGGAAATCAAACGCTCCTCCAGAGCAAATGCGCTCACTGGCCCTTGAGACAATCAATGTCAACTATCCTGCAGATCAATGGCTCCAAGTCTTCACTGATGGGTCATACATAGAAATCCAAGCAAACTTTGGTTCAGGTGTCTACTTGGAACTCCTCTCTTTCTACGCAGCACCGGGACACAATAGATCCGCTTTTGAAGGGAAAATAGAGGCAATTTGGATAGCTCTATGCCAATTATGTTGCCTGGATACGAAGTTCACCAAAGCGTGACAATTATGTTGCCTGGATACGAAGTTCACCAAAGCGGTGATACTTTCGGATTCACAGTCAGGAATAAACTCAACTGGAAACAGAGAGCCACCCAAAACAGGAATGTAGGAAAATCTTTTAGCTGCTGAGAGTGAAAAACATATCAATGGTCCTACAATGGATTCCTGGTCACTGTGGCATTAAAGGCAATGAGTTTGCTGACACAGTAGCTAAGAAGGAGACAACGAATTTGCATTGCATGTACCGGCCGATGTCTTTCCACACAATGAAGACCTTAATCAGAGGTGAATCCCAGACTTCAAGGTGCAACGAACTCAAAACTCGAACTAGGTAGAAACAGTGGGCAGTGGCACTCTCTGACATAGCCGACTGGCCAAGAATCAAAGCCATTGCTGAGTTTAGGCTACGTACCAGACACGATTGCTTGACAAAACACCTTCACAGATTGGGAGTATACACTTAACCCTCTTGTCCTCTATGTAGCCTACATGAGGAAATGGAGAAGACCCACCGGATTCGATGGCCAGCCCTAAAGACAACGACGAAAAACGAGAGATACTGAAAAGGAAGAAGACAGCTAATGAATTGCTTTTAATTAACTATATATATACCCCAAATAACTAAGTTTTAATAGAATATTTGGTTGAAAGAACAAAATAACCAATTAACATTGTAACCTAATCTCAAAACTAAAATGAAGTAACCAAATACCGATATTTAAGCAAAAATAAATGCAAATTGCAAGTCATTTAACTATATGAAAAAATAACCATATGAAAAAGAACGAGGAAGATTTCAAATGGAATAACTTCAATGGTTTATCTTTTTGCTTTTATTATAAAGAAATTCCACCAACACTTTAAAGTACTGTCAGCTACAATTCTTATTAATTCCTAAATTTTCTTTTAAAAGTTTCAAAAATCACTATATTGAAATTGAAAAGAAACAATTTGTTTTTTATATAATTTTTTGCTTTTAAATGACGATTAAAGCAATTAAATTTTTAATCGAAATTTACATTAAATGTCATTTCCGGCGCTTCATAAAATTGATTAAAGTCTTTTCATCTGTTAGATTTGTAACCCTGGTTTGGAAGTCCTCCATTACCGTGAACACCATCACCATCATCCCTGTGACCATTACCTCCAGGCTTACTTTGATATAATATAAATGACGCAATTATTGTGCCAATGGTATTGGTAAGACTAAAAATCGCGAGTAAAATCCGAGTACACAATGTCTTCATAATTCACAAAATGTCAAGATAGAAACTTTAACTTTTCACTTGAATTTTTTTGGAATCCGTATATTTATTCCACTGAAATAACATAAATTGTTTTAAGATTGTTCTCTGTTAATGACAGTTTTAAAAATAGAAAGAGTATGATTGGTCAAAAGCTGCATTTGTTTTCATGAAAAACATAAAAAGGAATAACTGTAACTTAAGTAAAATTAGTGATGTATGTTAAAAAAGTGACCATATTTGAATTAGATATGCTTCAACTTGTTAAATTAAACATAGATATGTGTGTGCGAATTGCTTCCGAACTAGAGATATTAATAAACATCACTTCACAGTCGGCTGATATATCCCTGTTTAAAACCATTTATCCAATATACTCTTTCTCATTAGAGCCTGTTTATCAAAAGTGACTTCACTTAACCCTATAGAGGCCTGTTTATCTCCACGTCGTCTATAATTTTACTATTTCCTCCATTAATCTGTTTTTTTCTGAAACTTTCGAAGAACCGAACAATCTTTTTTACCGGCATGACTATCAAAAGTGGTCTTGGTTCAGGTCCCTTAGATTTTCAAATCCCTTTGTTTCTATTAAAGGAAATTGAAGGACTTGAAAATTTCATTATTAGTCATAACGAAATCGATACTGTTTGTTTAAAGAAATTAAAGAAAAACGCCCCAGAATGTGTTCTGATAATCCCACGCGAAATACCTTTGGAAAATTTCAAACTCTTTAAGAGAAGATTATGGTTTTCATTTGGCAACAGAGTCAAGTAAATTAGTTAAGAATGGAAAGCGAATTGCTTTGAATGAATATAGTTCAATTCCCAGTAAATATTTTTTCAAATACCCTTTTGTTATATTGAATTTCCGAAGCCCACTGATTAAATTACTTATATTTCCCAACTTGTTTCCCTAATCAATGGACATCCACACACCTGTTCCAATTAGAAAAAAAAATTGAAACCAATTTAGAAAATTATAATAAATACTTATAAATGCTTAGTTGTTAAAATTCGAAATTGGAATCATGGATCAATTTACTGCAGCTAGTGTTGTTGCCGAAATCTTAAGTATTTGCAAAAAACACAAACTGAAAATCTGTTTACTTTTGGTTTATTGGTAATCAATCGCACGACGTGTGAAGTTGCTCTTCAGTAACCATTTCTTGTTCAAAATTCTGAAAAAAGTTTAAGATGGTTTGTATGCTCATTTTCCCACTCTAAAGAAAATTGAAACAGTGGCCTCGAATAGATGGATAATTCGCAAATAATTTTCTATTTCAATATCCGTGACGGACATCAATCGATATTAATGATTTTTCTTATCCTATTTTCAAAATATCAAGCCACTTAAAATTATATTTAGAATAAATTTTTTATTGTGACAAACAGTTAAATAGAAATAATTCTATTAAATTTTACATCATAGCGAACGATGACAAGCCAAATGGATTGCTTCCAGTTAATTTGTATTTTAATGAAATTTCAAGTTTGAATTATCTTGGCAAACAAATTGCCTTAGCTTCTTTCAATGCTTTAATTGTGCAATGGGAAACGAAACTAATCTTTGGATCATCTTCATAATGTCTCTGTCAATCAATTTATTCATGACATCTTAAGTATGTAAATCAAAATTAAAACAAAGTTTTATATATTTATAGAATATACTTTACATAATTACTTTAACTCACTGGATAATTAAGAAGTCTGAATGAAGACAATTTATTCAGTAAAAGTTAAAGTTGAATAGAAGGAATCAAGCCGACCAACCCATATGAGGTGACTAAAAGAAGGAGAAAATATTGTCTAATCCTCCAAATGTTTCTTGCAATCCTATATAACATAGCCTTTAATCAATAGACGCAAGTTTTTCATAAGTAAAAGGAAATTGGCAAAATTCCATGTTGCAAACAGGCAGTTGTGAGTATGCACATTAATTGTTTATTTTACCACATTCATGAAATACAAATTTATATCATCGTATTATTTATAAGAAAATATTTTAACAGCAACTTAATTCATCTTAACATTATTAATTCGTCTGAGGAATAGAATTGGAGGAAACTCTTATGTCAGTGTAATCTTTTCAGAAAGAATACGGACGAATCGTTATACTGTTTGATTATTCTAAAACAATATAGTGGCTAGCACAATTTTCACGGCGTTGTTGCTTGTGGCAAAAACATTCCCTAATTGTTACTTGATATAAGGCATAAGCGATTTAATCAATGAACAAGAGGAAAAGGATTTACGACAAAACTGTTGAAATAATAAACCACACTACTTGTTATTTATGAGTAAAAGAAAGCAGAAATCTGTCGATTTAGGCAAATTTTAACTTTTTTGATGCATTGAAAAGTTCAAATGGCAATTAAGAAGTGACCAATGAATAATGTTACTGTTATATAATTCTATGACTATTTTAGAGCATTATATACGAATATTTGACATTTATTTTACTGTCAGTGATTGAGTCACATTCCGACTCACCAATGTTTGTTGCGGCCATACAAATAAATTAACAAATCACTTAACATTAACTGCCAATTAATGCCTTGGTCACAATCGTTACCTTTCTACTTTTTCTTAATAAGTCCTATCTAAATCCTTGTTTTCTCCGTGGATTTATGACATATGTTTGCCCAACTATATAAAAATTAATCACTATATCTGCCATTATGATTAAGAATTCATGCTGTCAAAAACGGCATTATTTCATTCAATTAACGAATTTATGATAGACCTATTTCAGAAAACTCACAAGTCGGCGTGTGTTGCTATGTAGGCAAATGATAAATGCACTTTCAGGTTTTGATGGTTCAAAAGGGAAGTTGCCTATAGTGGGGTGCTTACAATGACTCGATTTTTTCGAAGGGATTCACTACAAACTGCATTTCTTTTAAAGTGCACCAATTGAAGGTCAAATTTTTAATAATACATTTTTTAACTATCCACTAAAACTAGTACTTTGATTAATTTAGTGCATTTTGGGATCACACAATTTTCAGCAAAAATTGAACTAAAAATAAATGGGAGAAAATGAATTATTCAATAAACGTAATCGGTCAATTTAATCATCACGGTGTTTAAAATGTTTTGGGTTATTGTGAATTGAATCCAAATTACTCTTTGAGACGAGTAAGGAAATAAAATTTTAAGACAAGCCTCCATTGCATTACGTATTTTCCTATACGAGCACTTTTGTGATAGGATATGATAGATTTAGGAGATAACCGTATAAACATTTATTTACCCACTTCACCGCGACTAGTATGAAATGGAGCAGTTCTAAATGCCATTTATAATTAAAAATTAGAGTGATGCTGCATAATTGCCCTCAACAGTTGCCTGCGTAGGTCATGTGATATCGAAAAAATGGGTTTCACACTATTTATGAGACAGAATGAATAAACGAATTAAACGAGTATTTGGGTTTAATCTAAGAGCACTTCAATCTATCATCTTCGTCTAATTGATTCATTTCACTGTGAATTTAGTTTCCTTCCCCAACAACACGATTCTTATGGACGGGTCTCACATTCGCTTTATATCCCAATGCCCACTACTTGCTCCACCATTTCCCTTTTAAATTCTTGTCACCTCCCCACTGTCAGCACACCAAAGTGTAAGCCGTAGTCGCACCACACATATAGTACAACCATTTTGGGATTTGAAAATCACCTTAACGTATAAAGAGCGCCATGTAAATTCTCTTCGAATTCACAACGATTAAGCGATTGCAACATCTTAATTACCTTTAATAAAATATGATATGTTCGTGATACCTACTGACAACATTATTCCCTTATTAGTTCAGTTCATTTTCATATGAATAACAATTCAGCTCGTAAGCCAAACTCGCTTCTCATCAATGTTCCAACAATTTATTTCTTGCCACATTGGATTTTAATCGATGCAATCATATTGTATATTCAAGTCCATTATCATTAGCACCACTGACAAATGGTTTGCACCGCTAGGGACATAAGTGCTTATGCCCTTTTTGAATTCGTTGAAGCATCATCTGCAGTTACAAGCACCAAATATATTTCTTCCTTTAATTTTGGCCTTTTTCATCGTTGGTTTCTACATTAATGCCCATTTTGGAGAGTGTAATTTATTCTCTTTTATAATATAGAGAATATTTC